CTTAAGTCTGGCTCAAAGGCGGGATTTCTGTCCTTGGATGTCAATCAAGAGGCAGAAGCGCAGCAGGGGTGACTGGGTTGTAGTGAGAGCCTTTGGGCTGGGCTTGTGGGTCTCTAAGTTGGTTGACCCCGCCTCAAAGCCATGATCCAACGGTTAGGCTAGGAAGGCGTTCTCGCGTCCGCGGTAAGTAGGACAGCCTGGCCGGCCCCTGCAGTCTCTTCCCGCTAGGCAGCGTCTCCCCGTCGACCTGGTCTCCAGACACCTCTCACCCCGCTGCTCCGTGGTCTGGGTTTTGTTTAACACCTCCACCAGGTCTGCGCAGTTGTTGCACATACATATAAACAAATTAATAAAGAAGGGAAAGTTCCTTCTTAAAGTAGAAAGCCAACTAACACATTTACAAGAAATGATGGTGCTAGAAAAATCTCCATTTAGTAATCATCATTAACAACTGATTTAGGGAGAACAATAACTTTACGGAGGAGAAACCTGGCAGAGACTACCTTAAGTAAGTACTTAACATTAACATTACGAATCACAGTAGAGATAGACTTCATGCTTTTTCATATGATACACTAAAAAGATATAACATCAATTCTGTCATGTTCCTGCCAAAAGTGAATAATCTAAATCTAATTAGGAGGAACCATCTGAAAACCACATAACATTAAATAACTGATCTTCAAAAATATCAAGATTATAAGGACAAAAGACTGAGGAACTAACCCAGACTACAGGAATGCAAACAAACATGACAAATATACATCATCTAGGACTCTTTTTTTTTTTTTTAAATAAAGGATATTAGGATAACTGGCAAAAGCAGAATAAGTTCTATAGATTAGGTAATGGTATTATATCAGTGTCAATTTTCTGATTTTGATCTTTGTGCCACAGTCACATAATGGAACGTCTTAGGTTTTAGTAAATACACATTAAAATATTTGGAGAAAAGGGGGCAATATGTCTGCATGTTACTGTCACATAATTCAGGAAAAAAACGTAGAGAGAGAGTAGAGTGGGGAGATGGGAAAGGAAAACTAAGAGACAGGAAAGAGGGGAAGGAAAAAAATAAAGCAAACATATAGTAACATGTTAACGTTTTAGATATCTGGGTGAACGGGGTTGGTGGTGTGCCGTGGAGTTGGTTCCAACTCATAGCGACCTTGTATAAGGTTTCTGAGGCTGTAAATCTTTACAGGAGCAGAAAGCATCATCTTTCTCCTGAAAAACAGCTGGTAGTTTTGAACTGCTGACCTTGAGGCAAACGGCCTAACTCATAACCACTATAATACCAGAGGTCCTTGGGTGAATGAGATATAGAAATAAAATTTTCCTCAAAGTCTGAAATTCATCAAAATAAACACATATAAGGTAATAAAGAGATAATCTCTTTAGACAGATTGATTATCTAAGGAGAACCACAATTTCCAATGCATGCTTTCACCTTTCCCAGCAACTCGTGGGGCTGGTAAGATGACCGGGGCTTAAAGAGTGAACCAGTCTGGTTCACAGTCAACACAATGGCACCTCCATGCTAAAAGAAGAGAGAAAAGATGAATTAGAAAAAACTGAAGAAATACGTAAACTAGAGCATCTTAATCATCTGTAGAATTTTTTTTTTGCCATACAGTGGTACAACAGTGTGGTAATTAATTCTAGATTTGTTGTGACAACAAGTTACTATATGATCTGAAATTATTAAAACATAGTGACACATTTCGGGGTCTTAATATCTTTTCCTGAAGATGGTAGGGAGATATAAAAACACTTTGAACAACTGCAAACAAAGTAAAATTTAGGCCAATATTTAAATATAATTATTTGAATAAGCTTACTTTAGTTTCATAGAAACCATAATACACAGATTTGTATCAAGTCTTTACTCCTAGGTTGGTAAAGATAAGGACATTCAGTAAGATATGACATAAGAACTTCCTGTTCATAAAATTAGAGCGAGACTGGAAAGTATTAGCATGGAAGTAGTAGGATGTCTTTAAAATAAAAAACCCACTTCTTTTTGAAATGTGTCAGGTATGGTGTTCACTCACCCAATCATTTTTCACCATTTTTCTCAGATTGTAAATAAGCGCTAGCTCCTCTGGAGCAATCTGCACATTGGTAAAGGAGAGCAAGAGAGAGAAAAAAAGAGATTATTTGCTTTTCCTGGAGCTCCCATGAGACAACTAAAGTTACAATGTAACTACAGTATACTTGAGGTAATCCCTTTGGGATAAGTTACTTATCCCACAGATCTGTTTGTTCTTTTGGCAGCCCATGGCACTTTCAATATTCTCCTCCAACACCATAACTCAGATACATCACTTCTTCTACGGTCTTCTTTATTCACTGTCCAGCTGTTTGCTGCATGCATATGAGGTTACTGAAAATGCCACGGCTTGGATCAGGCGCACCTTAGTCCTCAAGCTGAGATATCACTGCATAATGAAATAAACTACAAAGCAAAAGGAACTCTTGCTGTGGCACTGTACGATCAGCACTGGTCTGTGAACCAAAAGGGTTTTTCTTGATAAAATAAACAATCTAATGGTTATGGTGGGTGGTGGGGAGTGAAAATTAGTCATAGGCTAAGGTAGACACATGTTAACATGGGTGACGGGGCAGGCAATATATGACAAAAGGAAGGCTAACAAAGGAGAGATGAAGATAGAGACACAGGGAGGAATGCGACAATGAATAGAGATAAATACTGTTAACTGTACAAAGAGGAGATTGCAATCAGTGAAGCAAAGTATGATTTGCTGCATGTGAAACTGATGACAGCACAAACTATACTATGGGTTTATTTTATTTTTGCTGCACTCAATTCACAAAAAAAGTTGAACAAAAAAGCCAAAAATAAAATAAACCCATAGTATAGTTTGTGCTATCATACTTTTTCTAAAATACTATCCCTTAGTTTTAAAGGGAAGGTGGAGATCATGGTGTCACTTTCTGTTTAACACTGTACATTTCCGTTCACCTACTCCTATGGCAAGAAATTATGGTCTAATAAGGCTATGTCCCAGGCTCTGCAAATGACAGGACTAGCAACAGGAATTGAGAAACTCAGTTTTCCTACCGGACTTTTATCTTCTCTGTTCAGGGTGGTTCTTCCCCAGAGAGCATTGACTCCATCCACTGCCACTAGGAGGTGAAAGATACCTGAAGAACTTTGCCTCCGTAGTTCTTTCAGCACAATCCCAACTGCGTCTGTGGCATTCCTCACCCGAGTTATGCCCTGTATAGAGGGAGAGAAAGAGACACTGGCTTAGAGTCCTATGAGAGGCTTTCTCTTGGTATGGCACTATACATATTCATTATCTTCTTTACCTGTTCAATAACTTCTCCCAGCGGGCTGCCTTTCTCAGTGCTATCTCGCTTGTTCCAAATATACTTCTCTTGAACTTTTATCTAAAAGTAAACAAACAAAGAACCTCCATACTTAGTTTAAGGGTGAACCCATCCCTACTTGAGAAGGGAGGTAGTGGTGTGCCACGGTGTCGGTTTGACTCATAGTGACCCTTTATAGGGTTTCCGAGGCTGTAAATCTTTATAGGAGCAGAAAGCCTCATCCTTCTCCTGCAGAACCACACTGGTAGTTTCGAACTAGCTAACCTTGATGTTAGTAGCCCGATTTGTAACTACTTATGCTACCAGAGCTCCTTGAGAAGGTAGGAGGCTAGCTAAGCTTATTAAGAGCCAGTTGCAATCTACATTCAAGGTCGTGTAAAGACTTCACTATGAAAATGAATGCTTTCTAGTCTATGTCTGCCTGGAATGTTTAAGTTGTGAATCCACCCTGATGAAAATGTACGAAAGAAAGACAAAATGGTATTGTTAATCCAAGTGTAATATTGTTATTAAGGCTGTTGAGTTGGTTCTGACTCACAGTGATCCTGTATAGGGTTGCCAAGGAGCAGCTGGTCGGTTGGAAATACCAACCTGGGAGTTAGCATTTCAGTGCTTATCTTACAGTGCCACAGCCACACTGCTATATTAGTTCTCAACAATATAATCTAGAGCAAGGTAGACAGAATCTGTATATGAAGGCTGCCCAGCACCAAATTTCTGGGCATCTAGCTAGTTACCTGGCTCAGGAAGCGCTCATTTGAAGCTTTAAAATTCTTGAGCCAGGTTGAAGCCTCTAAAGGTTGATCCAAGCGCTGTTTGTTGTATGTAGACTGCAGAAGATCGTGACAATTTTTTACCCAACGATGAGCTGGAAAAAAAAAAAAGCACAAGAAAAGGAAATATGCAAAAACTGACTGCACTTAACTCAAAATACTATAATGTCTAAGTTATGGGAAGTGTCATTACTTTGCCATATGCTGGGGGGGGAGGGGTAGGCTCAGAAAAATTTGTGGAAAAATGGAGTTAAAAAAATAATGGAATATTCTCATAAAAACTTTTTGAAGCCCTGTCATATACTTAAGATCTTCTTGCTCCAGGGGTTTACTTTTTTGTCTGCTCCATCTTAGGAGTAAACATCATTACAATCAATATACCAGGCCATACAAAGTGTATCACATATGGTCTCTGCTTCCTAGCAGTTTTAAAAGCGAAGCCAGAGATATGGATGCATACAACACTGAACAAACAAGGGCTATATGCCAAGTATGAAAAGGAAAGATTTTAAGATCCATAGTGATAATCCTGTAATGGTGATAAACAACATGTCAGAGACTCTGAGGGTACTCAAAATTATTACTTAACGGCTACAATGATTGCGGCCTCTATGGCAGGAGCCCATGCTCACAGGCAATTAGATATCAAAGTAAGGACTGCTGGGCCTAAACACTTCATTCTTAGTTCTAAAAGGCTCCAGGAAGCTTTTAGTTGAATTTCCTCTTGTCACATATCCTTCATTTTGCAACCCTGCTTGGCACTAATATCATGAAGCAAGGATCAACTAATTCAGACTGCTCTGCACCTGGAGCAAAGGCTTTTCTTTTAGCCCTCAGAGCCCTGTCAGAAAATTGAAGCCATAGGGCTACCATAGTACTGGGATTACTAAGTCTGACACAGTGAAGATAGAGAATTTCTTACCATCTGGAATATGTAGTATCAGCCAGTCTTGTTTTGCACAGAAATGAATAACATGGCAAAGACTGAGGGTTTTTCCTGTTCCTTTTTCCCCATCTAAAGCACTTGTTGTTAAAGAAAACATCACCAGAAGGAATACATTTGCAACCATCTCTTTTCTTCTCTCATTTGAAAGTGGGAAAGCATTAGCTCAGAGGGTCCAAGCAGGCAGGAAAGGATACAGAGAATATATCGTACAGCTGGATGTGCAAAGTTGGTGTTTTTCAGGTAATGCAGAAGTTCGAGGGCTGGTTTCCTTACCATAAGGCAAGCTTCACTGAATGTCTTCACCTAACAAAACAGAAAGAAGAAGCAGTGGGTGGGGTGTAGATATCTAACCTGTTCTTGTTAACCTAATATAACCTTGAATCTAATAGAGCAACCAAGGGCACCAAATTACATCTTTAATTTATTCAGGTGGGAGAGGATGGGTTGGGACTGAATTTGAAATTCTAGCTCATGTAAGAAACACATTATGCTACAAGTCATCTGAACACTCAGCTTTTGATTATTCCTGTTAATGAAGCACAGCTATAACATCAGTTAATGAATACCTATAAATAATTCAGACATCTTAATAATATGTATCACTTGGTATATCACTTATGGTTGACATAAAAAAGCATGTAAAACATTTAGCAAAGTATCTAAATACTTTATACAGTACACAGTCAATAAACATTAGTTCTCTTTGTCTTTAGTGAATTCGTATCATTCTATCTAAACTTTTTTAGCGAGAACTATATATAGTACATTCTCTCTAAAAAATGTACTGTCAAAACAGTCTTGTATGCTTGCTGATGACCATCCTGGTCAACTTGTGAGTGGAAATAGAGGAAATGCAGCAAAGGAAGCATGGGCTGAGATTGACCATATTCCATAGATGCCTGATGAAACTTGAGATGAAAGGGAGAAGAGGATGGGGCATGCTGGTTTGGAGAAGTTCAGGGAGATGTGTGAACTCCCGAACCCAAAAACACTGACCTAGCCATTGGGGAATGAAGCAGCCAGCTGATCTGAAGAGGGGGGAGACATGTGAGAACTCCCACACTCACACAGACAGTACCCATTAGCCCTTGCATGGATGGCTTGCTGACCAGAATTCGACCAGATGAAGATAAAGAAATATGATACAGGGAGCAAGCGTAAATTGCTACAACCTAATCAACTGGACCCTTGATTATGGATGAGGATGCTCAAAATTCCAACTGAATAGGGAAGGATTCTTCTTATCAAAGATAAAGAATGCCTCCTCAGTACACTAGGTTGTTAAGAGTCGAGCAACTTAGACTTCGGCTACCAAAACTGGGGGGCTATAAAGGCATGATGTGGCTGGCTTGTAAGCTTTCATGAGGTGCTTAGTGTCAAAAGGGGAATAAGACAGAAACCCCACTGAATAGTTTTCCTCATGTCCAAATGGGTCTGGTGATAAGGGGGGCAGGATTTTATGATTCAATTGCAAGTAACTGTTTTCAGGTCTGATGGGGATTGCCACAACTGTAAATGTAGAAGAAGTATAACTAAAAGGGGGGAGCAGTTAACCTGTCATTTCAGGAACAAGGAGGGGACCCTAGGACCATCAAAAGGTAAGAACATAGGAGTGAGGGATCCTAATCAGAAAAGCGGCGACAACAGAAATGGTGGAAGAGGCGATGAAACAGAGAGACAGAGCAGCGGGGGACTAAAGGCCCATGGACTGAAAAAAGCAGTGTGCTTGGGGACAGGGCAGGAGACTGGTTTTGAAAATGTGCCCTTGTAACATTTAAATGAATAAATATTTACAATGTAGAAAAAACAAAAAAGTTGTTCTGAATGACAATGAAAGGAAATTAGGAAAATATAGCAGCAGGAAAAAAAAAAAAAGTACTGTACGAGTTCTTGTGTGAGTTGTAGGATAAGCAGTTGACTTTAAGGTCAGTTTGAGCTGCAAGGTTGACAGTTCAAACTCACCAGCCGCTCCTTGGGAATCCTATTCAGGCTCACTATGAGTTGGAACTGACTCACCTGCACTTAACAACAATTGTTCTCGCCAAAAAAGTGTATATATAAAACATGGAGACATGGAGTCCTGGTGTGGCGCTGCAGGATAATGTACTAGACAGCAAGGTCAGTTTGAACCGCAAGCACTCAATCATAAGGTCCGTTTGAACGGAAATGTCGATGGTTTGAACCAACCAGCCACTCACTCAAAACCCTATATAGGGTCACTATGGGTCAAAACTGACTCAATGGCACTAAACTACAACAACAGTATACAGCACATGCCAGTTCAGCTGCAGGTGTGGCCAACTCACCACAATTTTAAAGCCATACCTGACATTAGCAGTGTACCAAAATCAGAGTTTGTGTGTTCATTCCCGTTTTGCTCCCAGGATTAATTTGAAGGAAAAAGTTGGGAAGTATGTGTGGAGGTGATTTGCAAGTATGATATTTCATTATGTCTACTAATAACAATAAATATCTACATAAATACTATTTGCAAGTATATAAGATGGCTCTGGTAGCATAGTGGGTACAAATTGGGCTGCTAACCTCAGGGTCATCAGTTTGAAACTACCAGCTGTTCTGCAGGAGAAAGATGAGGCTTTCTACTCCTGTAAAGATTTACAGCCTCGGAAACTCTGTAGTACGTTGCTATGACTCGGAATTGACTCCACAGCACAAAATAACAACAACAACAAGATGGCTATATTTTTTAAAGGCATTCTAACAACTGAATGTGAGAAGGAATTAGCAGGTTAAGTCCAAACTTAATGGTAGTGCAATCTTCAAAAACATGATATAGGTATTAAAATAAAACTGCTATTAAGCATAACAATACTAATATACACAATATTGCCTTCATTTAAATGGGAATTACAGAAATAATTCATGAGTCATTCTTTCCAAGCCACTGTTGGTTAAGTCAGCCTGAATGCAATTTAAAGAGAGAAATTGAGGTTAAAAACCAATGTACAGGAGAACAAACAAGATGGCGGAGAGGGTAGCAGTGCAGTGAGGAGATCTGTCAGCAACAACACAGAATTCCGGACCAAGCAGGCTCAAGAAATGGTGCAAGAACACTGAACCATATATAAAGGTATATTTAGAAGGTTGGAAGGCCTACAGTTAGGGGAATTTGTAGCAGAATCAAGAAATCCAGTGCTTTCTAATTCAAGATGCTCAGCTGCTCCCAGAGCCACCATCTTGGGTGAGACCGAAGGGGGGAAGGATCAGAGCAGTCACAGAAACCTGACAGAAACCCCCATCCCCAGAACGTTCTACTACAAATGCACAGATTTCCTCAAAATTTATAGAGACAGTTTCCACTTAAAACCAGATGGCCACAGCCAACCCTGAACTGTTTATAAAGTAGAAATAAGGCCTAAATGGGGATTGTGGAGTGGAACAGGCAGACTTAAAAGGAAATAGGCCGAAAATTAAATCCTGAGTTATGTCACAATGACTAACAGTGACAAAATCTTGAAATTTCTCAGGAAGAAGAGTAAAAAGGGAAGCCCATTTCCTGGTCACATCTACCTGTGGGCAATCAGAAAGCATAAAAATACCAAAATACACACCCATCTAAGTATTAAGGCCACAGATAACCGATGAATATGCCCCAAAACCAGAAGCAGATGACCATATCAGCACATGTCCAAAAACGAGATAAAGTGACTGCGGCAAATGAGCTGGAAGGAGACCTACACTCCATACTGGAAGATGGGCAGGCTTTGGAAATGCCAGAGACGGAATTCAGAAAAATGATTATAAAATGTATCAAAACACTATACAATAGAGTTGAGAAAAATAAGAAAGAAGTCAGAAAAGCACTATAGGTACAATCAAATAAGATAGATACAGCATTGGAAACAATTCAAAACCTACAGAAAGAAGTACAAATGATTAATAATAGAATATCAGAAATGGACAATACACTGAAAGAGCAAAGGAGTAGAATTGAAGAAATAGAAGCCACAACTAGTAAGCTAGAAGATAAATCTCTCAACGCTACTAAGATAGAAGAGCAAACACAAAAAAGGATAAAAAAAATCTGAAGAAGGTCTAAGATTCATGTTGGACAACACAAAGAGGAATAACTTAAGAATTATTGGCATTCCAGAACAGGAAGAATCACAAGTCCACAGAGGAGATAGTTGAAGAGCTTCTGGAAGAAACTTTTCCTAACATCCTGAAAAGTGAAAAGATAAGCATTCAAGAAGCTCAGTGAACCCCAGGAAGGATAGACCCTAAAAGACAATCACCAAGACATACAATAATCAAGCTCTCCAAAATCAAAGATAAGGACAGAATGCTGAAAGCAACTAAGGAAAAGAGAAGTGTAATATACAAAGGCAAGCAAATCAGATTAAGCTCAGACCTTTCAACAGAAACCATGCAGGCAAGAAGGCAATGGGGAGACATATATAAAACTCTGAAAGAAAAAACTGCTACCCAAGAATCCACTACCCAGCAACGCTGTCAATCAAATATGATGGTGTAATCAAAACATTCCAGGATAAACAGAAGCTAAGGAATTTTGCCACAGCCAACCCTGCTATGAAAAACATCCTAAAGGAAGTTCTGTAGACTGAGAATCAACAAGAACAGACAACAACTAGAGAATGATGTATGTGGCAGCATCACCCTGAACTCAATCGACAAATGGAAGAGTCAAGAACAGAATAAAATTGTAAGAACAGAGGATCTGGGAGGTCAGTCTATGATCAAAACAATTACAATGTGAAAGAAGGTAAACACAGAGGAACAGAGATCTAGGTGGTGGGAAGGTCATGTAGCATTACAGGATAAAATAGACTGTCTTAAATGGAGGGAAGAATTAATGGAATATAAGGTAACCACAACAATGGGGTTGGGTTGGGGGGTTTAGTTCGGGTGTTGGGGAGGGCAATACAAAAAGGGGGAGGAGGCAGAAGAACAAGACAGATAGGGTAACAATGACACAGGTTTGCATGACCTAAATGGGATAGAGGTAAATAGCGATGCATGCTCAACCTTGGAACAACAGGGCTCTGGGATATAGGGATCTAGGTATAGCCTGAAGAGGGGAAATAATACTAAAATATTTGACTTTCTTACAAATATTTGTTTCCATTGCCTACTATTGTAAAATAGACACTTGAGTGTGATAGAAAGGAATGTTGGGAAACATGATTAGAGAAAACTTGTAAGCCTGTCTTTAGCCTATAAGTGATTGGAATACCTTAAAGGGGTTCTAGAACTTGCCCAGTGAAATAGGCCTCTTGCAAATCCTTTACAGAATATAGGACCTTATCCAGAACCTTATGAGGTGGGACATTCCCACTAGAAAGGACAAGCAGACCAGACTGGAATAGCTAGAGCAACTGAAGATACATCTTCAAAGAAAGGTCATTAGGAAAAACCCAAAACAAAAATGTCAACATGACTGGCTACTACAAGAGTAAAAGTAAGCTGTATGCCAGGAAGACATCAAGGCAAGCAATCAAGTTCCTTTAGGACAAACTCCCCTCTAAGACTGAAACTCAAAGGGAACACACAAACAGGCATGTAAGCTTGCTGGTGACCACACTGGTCTACTGGTGAGTGGGAGAGGGGGAAAGGCAGCAATGAAGAAATGGGCTGAGTTCAACCACAGTCCATTGACTCCTGTTGACCTGGAGATGAGAGAGAGAAGAGGAAGGACTGGTTGGTCCAAAGTGTGGTGAGACATGTGGTGTAAATTATTATATATGCCTGAGTAGTTTTTTTTGTTTGTTTGTTTTAAAAAGCTTAAGTGGATAGAGAGAAATACTGTTAACTGATGGTACCTGGAGGGGATTATAATCATTGTAATGAAACAAGGTGTATTATTTGTTGAATGTAAAACTGATGATCTGCTTTGTAAACTTTCACTCAATCCACAGTAAAAACCTTAAAACAACAACAACAACAACAAAAACCTATGTACAGTTTTCCAGGCCTGATCATAGGCAATTACAAAGGACTCAACTGACAGCCATGTAGAGAAAGCTGCCTTCTTAACCAAACTTAGTGCACAGCCAATTCATTACATTCAATGATGGGATCAACCAAGGACTCAGTCCCCTAAATGGTATGTGTGCTATGTTCATGCAGCTAGAACAAATAATGGGCATACCAAAAATGTTAGTTGCTTTGCTTACTGAGCTCCCAGGAAAAGTTGGGAGACTGTGGAAGAGGACAGTCTGAGCACAGCCTACCACCTTTCACTACGAGCCATGAATGAACCTGTGCTTAGAACCAGATGTGTTGGCAAGGTTTCTTGGAGGGGATGAGAGTGTGGACTGACTCAGGGTATCTAGGCCCAAATATATACCCCATCGCAACTGGTGACATAAGAGTACATTCCTCACTTCTTGCCTTGAGCATATATTAACATTCCCAGGAACTGTTTACTTATGAGTATCACAAGCACCTGGTCACCCCATGTCTATATCTGTTTCTGGAGGGAAGAGAACAGGGTTTTTCACATTCAGCATGAAAGGAGTATGTACAGACCACCAGAACTGTGTCAGTTGTGGAGAATGACTCAACATGAGGGACAGACCCTAGTATTCTATCTCTTTTCTATATAAGTAAAGCATTGTTTCAACCCGTATGTAATTTGTATTTCTTGAAGACCTTGTACGGCCTTCCTAACCATGAATCTACAGATTTTACTATGAATAAAATGCCATTACATTTGATTCCTTCTGTCTTGTCCTAATTCCAATCTTAATGATAAGGCTATGGTTGATTTTTAGCTCCTTTACTGGTATCTCATCTGATTTCCTGAAACAAAGAATAGTGAAGAAATAATATCCTCCTACTCTTAAGTTTAAAATAACCTGATATTTCATTGTTGTTGTTGTTGTTATGTGCCATGGAGTTGGTTCCGACTCATAGCAACCCTGTACAGGGTTTCTGAGGCTGTAATCTTTATGGGAGTAGAAAACCTCATCTTTCTCCTGCTGAAGTTTGGAACTGCTGACCCTGAGGTTAGCAGCCTGAATCGTAACCACTATGCTACCAAAGTAAACAGGAATAATTTCTGAGGTTTAAAATAATTCAGCAGGAACTTGTGAGAAGAAGCACTGATGCCAATAAACTATACTTGCAGTTAATCACAAAATCTTTACAGGGATATAAAGCAACCGAAGATTATACTCTTTGGGCTACAAAACTACATGAAAATTCACAAAAACAATGAATGTATCTAATACAAACTTCATTTCTACTTGACTTAAGAATGTTTTGATTTTTTTTCCTATGGCACAGTAACAATTTTCATAGTATTTTGCTAAGGCAAATATTAAATTCATTTATTTGAATGACAAAGTTTGTAGAAACCTGTTGGTTAGCTAAAAGAGAACCAGGTGGATAGTATCTATTTAAGAGTTCTTTAGTCACCATGGAATGGTCAACCATTCAAGATCAAAAGGGCAACATTTACCTAAAGACAGAGTTCAGAAGGGTTGGGAAGGAGGGTGGAATGGAAATAGAACCACAGGGAGGAAGTGGGAAAACTGTTGTTGCATGAATAGGATCACAATTCATACAGAGGGTATGAATTGCAATGACTGACATAAAACAAAGTGTATGATTTGTTGAATGTAAAGCCAAGATTTGCTGCTCTGTAAACCTTCATTCACTTTACAATAAAATGTTTCAAGAAAACACTTTTTTTTCCATTGGTACCAAAAATGTAAGATGGATAATAAAAAGATACTCAATAGCTAAAATTATCTGTTTTTCAGATACAAATTTCATCCTTTACAGTTTTCTACTCACATTACCTCACTCCTCTGCTATCAACAGCTTGTTTCCGTCCCCAGCCCCCAAGCCCCTTGCCTGTTTTGAGCACCTGTATTGCAAAGCGAGGAGGCAGGCCATGGGGAAATACAGTCTTCAAATCCTGGAGGGGAATGGTGTAGTGCTGACACTCATGCTGCTTTCCATGCTTGGCCTATGAAATAAAAATGTAAAGAGGTCTAATGGGGACAAAGTGACACAGACTTTGGAAAAGTAGAAGGGGCCTGCTAGATGATATTGAGAAAACATGTCTCAGAATCTTTTTCATTTCTTATCTTAGACAAAAAAATGTTAATATCTGTCCTGAAATCAACACTGTATTTGAAGCGGGTGGTGGCCGGAAAGATGAAGTCAGTTGCTCAGCAACGTAAACCCTAGATGTGGGAGTGCCAGAGACAATTCTTGCCATCTGGATTCTTCTGTACTGTGTACAGAGATGCTCCAGTCATGTGACAAGATCATCTGCATGCTGCTGTTTCCATAGAAACCCCAGAGGAATTGGCAGATAAAGGGACTACAATTATAGAGGAAGCTAAAAGACACTTCAATGACTTCATTCATTTATTCTATTTCATTTTGTGCTATAGGTGAATGCTATTGGGGTTATGTTTTTCCTTTTGCATACCCTCTGTTACGATGGAAGATTCTGAGACTAGGGACAAGACAGAAAGGGAAAAAAGGAAGATTCACATTTTTAGCATAGACCACAGAGCTAATAATCATTTATGAGAGGCAGCAACAATGCTAGAGAAGAAGAAATCAATATCTAGTCAAATGGAACCTGAGATAGAAAATACACCACTGAAATCTGCTGGAGTCCTTGCTTTGGCTAACTAACTTCACTTTAAGATATGCTGTTCTTCTCACAAGGAGTCTTGGTGGCACCGTGAGTTAAACATTGGACTACTAACCTAAAGGCTGGGGATTCAAACCCACCAGTTACTCCATCGGAGAAAAATGAGGTGGTCTGCTCTTGTAAAGATTTACAATTTCAGAAAGTCTATGAATCAGTTGTTAGAATCAAACCTATGAAAGCGAGGTTTTTTTGGGTGTTATTCTTCTAATAACAAATCAAGGTAATTCCCTTTCCAGCACCAGGAAATCCATTTAGAAAGGTGGAAATCAATACTGGATTACTAATTTGGAAATGTGGACTCTGTAATCCTGTACCTTATTATGTGATCCTGGGCAAGTAAATTTGATTTCTCTATACTGGGGGTTGGTAAATGATGACTGGTAGATAAGTGCCATGATGTCGGTTCTGACTCATAGCGACCCTGTATAGTGTTTCTGAGGCTGTAAATCTTTA